GGCTGTTTTTTCTTGAAGAAATGAATCAAATAGCGGGGGGGGAGCGTCTCCGGCGGGGGGACGCAGCCCCCCCTCCGGAGAATCAGGTTTAGCCCTAAACAACATAAAACCCTAAACCCTAATGCCTAAACGTCGACCCAACCCTAAACCCTAATGCCTAAATGGCGACCATGCACAAAACCCTAATGCCTACACGGTGAACATGCTCAGAACCCTAATGCGTAAACAGCTTAACCCCAATTTAGGGTTTAGCTTAACCCTATTTTAGGGTTTAACTAAACCCTAAATTTAGGGTTTAGGGTTTAGGGTTTAGGGTTTAGGGTTTAGGGTTTAGGGTTTAGGGTCCGACAGCGCAGCTGGAGTCCTAGCAAAGTCTAAGAAAGTGCTCTATAGGGGGTCGACCCTAGCTTTAAATCCATATTTCTCTCTTCCTGAAAAAGTTTTTTGGAGCCTCCCCTCCCAAAACTCTCTCCAAAGCCTTTAAGGAATTTCACAGACTTTTCCCAGCTACTAAAAACCTTTCCAAAACCTCTCCAAAACCTTTCAAAACCTCCCCAGGACCTTTAAAAACCTCTCCAAGACGTCTCAAAACTCCCAAAACCCTCTCCGGGCTGGGCTTTGGGGCCTCTTCCCAGCCTTTTCTGGGCCTCGGGGCCTGTTCTGACCCTTTTCTAGCTGGAGGGGCTGGACTACCTTTTCTAGGCCTCTTCTGGGCGTTTTGTAAGGCCTGGCCTCTTCTGGGCCTTTTTGTGTTCTAGGCCTCAAGGCCTCTTCTGAGTCTTTTCTAAAGCCTCGGGCCTCTTCTCGGCCTTTTGTAGGCTTCTGCGCCTCTTCCCAGCCTTTTTTCTCTGGGCCTCCGGGCCTGTTCTGGGCCTTTCTAGGCTTCTGGGTTCTTCCCAGCCTTTTCTGAGCCTCCTAAGCTTTTTGTGGGCTTGGGGACCTCTTTCCAGCCTTTTTTAAGCCTCCGGGCTTCTAGGCTCTTCCCAAGCTTTTATAGGCCTTCGGGCCTCTTCTGAGCCTTTTCTGGGC